GGGCATTCAGATTTCTTACGGCAGTTACATAATCTGTTGATCTCGGTACTGGGTGTATTGGTGTTGGCCGCTGTAAGTTGTTGTTTGTTTTGATTGCAGATTATTTGCTTCACGTTATTCGTACAACTGTAGCTCAATTTGATGGTGTTACGGCTGAAAATTTTCCTATATATATATATATAACATGATGTATAACGAATATATAATATTTGAATATAATCAGTCAAAGCATTTAAGAGATATGGCTCTAGAAGCCCAATCATTAAAACAAAATGCCAGAACATAAATGCCAGAAATGCTTGATATTCGAGAATTTTTTTAGCACAAAAATAGCCACCATTAGGCCACTTTGAAAAAGATCGTCAAACCAATATATCTGTATATCTGTGACATGATGTATATTAAAAATTTGAACATAATCAGTCAAAACAAGTCAGACATATGGGTCTGGAAACCCATTCATTAAAACAAAATGGCCACCAGACAGCCATTTTGAATCTGATCTGAAAAATAAAATGACGTGCATCAGGAACCCGTAATGTCTAATGTATGTACCAAGTTTAAACGAAAATCCATCCATAAATGCCAGAAATGCTCGATATTTTATGATTTTTTAGCACAAAATGACAACCATTCGGCCATTTTGAATAGGATCGTCAAACCAATATATCTGTCTATCTATGACATGATGTATAATGAATATTTAAAATGTGAACATAATCAGTCAAAACAAGTTGGAGGTATGGGACTAGAAGCCCATTCATTAAAACAAAATGGCCGCCAGTCGAAAGTTACATGAAAAACAAAATTATTTGCATCAAGGTCCTATAATGTCTAATGTATATATAAAGTTTGAACAAAATCCATCTGTAAACAGCCGAGAAATGCTTGATTTTTATGATTTTTTTAGCACAAAAATGGCTGCCATTCGGCCATCTTGAATCAGATCGTAAAACAAAATGATGTTCATCAAGGTCCTATAATGTCCAATGTATTTACAAGGTTTGAACAAAATCCATCTGTAAACAGCTGGGATATGCTTGATTTTGATGATTTTTAGCACATAAATGGCCACCATTCGGCCATCTAGAATCAGATCGTGAAACAAATTGACGTGCATATGTATGATATCATGTATGATGTATGTGTGAAGTTTGATTGTGATTGGTCCAGGTATTTCTAAGATACAGGTCCGGACGCACGCACGCACAGACCCTTTTTCTGACTGCGTCCGAACGGGGACTAATAACATATTGCTCAATTTTTGTAGGACACCCATCACTTTGGTTTATGTAAACAGCAAAGTACTGATATTTTGTAAATTTTTTACAGCCCAATTGGGCTACTAATTTTGGAAATGGTTGCCATAGGACTAACGTTGATAGCCTGTGTGCCTTTGGCTACTGTTAATTTTGTGTCCTCCAAGCCAAAGGCAAGTGCATATAGACTGAATTAGGGAATATAGAAATCTCACAAATTTTGTAATGGCTATTTCAAAATCAGGCACATTGCAAATTTGGTATTTAACACAAACTGTGAACTAAGTTTGACTC